CCCCTTGCATACCTTGATTGCCTTCCTGTGTGTATCACCATCATAACACTGAGGATGTTCCACTGAAAACACATGACTCTCTTTGAAACTGAGGAGTGTATTTTTTCATTGTTTTCCCACTGGGCAACATAGTACCCAACACTTAGTGAAATGTGGGATAGTTGATAAATAAGTCCATCAATAGATTTGACAACTGGGCTATTTCTGTAATGTGTTATGGAAAGAGGAAAATATTTTAGATGCAAAGTACTGACAGAGAGTAGGTGTCTCCTCTTATCTTAAAAACAGCATAATGTAAAGCAAAAGAGGAAAAAGACCATAAATGGGATTACTGTAAAAAACTAAATATTGAAGGATACTGAAGATTCCACATTCTTACAGATATGTAGCATCTTGTTCTGATATTTGGTCATCCTTTCTCATGCAATACAATCCATGTGCAACCATTTCCTCAAATTTATCTGCAGCCTTGTCACTCTCCTGAATGCAAGGCTCCATCTGCATCCTTAAACATCTCCATGCATGTCTGTTGACAACTCAAACTTAAAAAACTGGAACCAAGCTAGTCTGCATCTCTCCCAGCTGCTCTGTCCATAGCCATCCCGTCTTAGTGAGTGGCAGCTCCAGTCTTCTGGATGGCTCAACCAAAAGACATGGAATTCCCTTTGACCTCAGCCCTTTGGTTCATCCCCATTTCCAGTCCACAAGCACAATATGTTGGCTCTGCCATCAAACTAACATTCAGAATTCAGCCACTTCTCACTACAGTCTCCATTGTTATTGTCATAGTCTAAGCCACTATCATTGTGTGTCTGGATAATAGAAATTACCTCCTGGCTGATTTTTTACTTGCAGTCTTGCCCCATATTTTGCACTCAGACAGGCAGTGTCCTTTCAAATGTTTTTCCTGTCTTTAAAGACCTTTAGTGGCAGCCCAGCTGAGTCCTGCCATGGTATACTGGTCTGCTCTGGCTGCCATAACTGGAACCCTAGAGACTGGAGGCTGAAATGACTGTTTATTTTCTCACAATTCTGGAGTCAGGAAGTCCAAAATCTAGGTGTCAGCAAATTCAGTTTCTAGTGAATCTTCTCTGACTTTTAGTTATTCACTTTCTCACTGTGTCTTCTCACAGCATTTCTTCTGAAGATTTTGAGAGAGAGAGAGAGAGAGAGAGAGAGAGAGAGAGAATGAATGAGAAAGAAGCCTCATGTCTCTGCCTTTTCTTCCAGAACACCAACCCTAGCAGACTTCAGTGCCACCCTAATGACCTCATTAACCTTAGTCATCACCTACAGGCCCTGTCTCTCCGAGTACCATCATTGGAGGTTGGAACTTCAGCATAGGGATCTGAGGGGTAAAATTCGGTCCATAGTGCATGGCCTACAAATTTCCATGTGATCTGTGGCTCACTCCAGCTGTCCCAGCCACACAGCTACGCTGGGCTCTCTGTGACTCCTTGAACATATGCACTATGCTCCTATCCCGGGGATGTGGCCCTGACTGTCCCTCCAGACTTCAGCATGACTTACCCCTCATGTCTCTGCTCACATGCCATTTGTTGGCTATTCTTACTTGAGCACCTTATATAAAAGAGCACACTCTCCCCACCCCTGAAAAGCATTCCCATCACTTATTTCCTCTCCTCTACTCCAGCAGAAGTATAAGCTCTACAAAGGCAGGAATTGTATATCTTTATGTCTGTAAATGTGAGTATATTTTCTGGCACACAAAAGATACACAGTAAATATCTCTTGAATGAATGAACAGAAGTTTCTTTTATATTCATTATCTTTTGGCCTCCAACCGAATCTGGAAGAGGATAGGGTAGATATTTGTTCTACTTTCACAGATGAGGGAAGCTAATACTCTTAAGGGTTAGGTTTCATATATGTAGTGATAATTTCATTTGTTGGGTGCTTAGTATTGCCAGGGGATATGCATACTGTCATACTTGCTTTTATTTAATCCCTGGAGTAATCCTAAAAGATTATATATTATTATCCCCATTTTAACACAATTACTTATGCCTTGGAAAGGTTCAATAACTTGCCCGAGGGAGCCACTAATAAGTGACAGCCTACATGTGAACCCTAATCTGACTTCAAAGAACTGGTTTTTATCTACTATTATAGCTCACATCCTTTCAGCACAATGCCATGTGCCAGGTACTATGCTAAATCCTCACAATAATGCTATGAAATATGCTCCACTACTGTCTTCATTCTGAGGATGAGATCACTGGGGTCCTGAGAGGTTAACTGTGTAGGGTCACATCCAGCTGACCTAGAAGTCTGTTTCTTAAGTGCTAGACTTCTGTAAGAGCCAAGTCTTAAACCTAGGACTTCCTACTTTCCATTGCCTGCCTTTGTACTCTACCTGCCTAAATTAACCTGAAGGTCCAGGATGCCCTGACCATGACACACTTTCATATTTGCAATTCTGATCTCAGTAGGTCCCAGTGAAACAAAGTTTTGGCTGCTAAGGCAAATTAATGTGCCCATTAAAAATACTCACATGTTGTATGATCTAATCATTTTTAAAAGGACTCTTCCAGGTTAGGTAGGCTTCCTTGCATCTCTTCTCTTTCTTACTAGATACCTGACAAAACACTTTTCCTTCACCCAGCCTCTCTCTCCTCTAATGATATAGCTTAGGTTCAATGGTGAAGAAGGATAATTGAATCTATTTTTCAGACATTCATTGGTAGGCTCTATTCTTGGCACATATTGTTAGAATTGGGAGAGTCAGACATTTCTTTAATAAGTTAAGATTGTTGGGCTGGTCCAGGGAGATGAATAAAAGACATTACAATGCCAGCCTCAGAAAATATGTATGGCTCGTATATTCCTTGCTTTGCCCTACCATCCCAGTACAAGGCTTTTTCAAACACCTTTCTAGAAAAGCATTCCTCCTTTAGGGGGTGTCTGCAGTCTGCCCTGGCTGTACACTTGTCCACCACACATTGGGCCAGCGCTTCCCAAAGTGCAGTCCCCTGAGACCAGGAGCAGCAGCAGCTTCACCCCTGCACTTGCCCACATCGGCTAAATCAGAAACTCTGTGTGGGACCTAGCACTGTTTTCCCAAGATGCATGCTCAAGTGTGAGAGCCCCAGAATTAAGAGAAGGGTCACCTCTCTCCCCTCCAGCCCTCATAACCCTGCAGGTGTGAGACAACAAGGTCACAGCTGCCCCTAGCTTGCTCGTAAGTTGCAACCACAGCTACAGCTGGCAGAGAGCTCCATTCTGGGGACATATGTTTGAGCCTAGTTCAGGGAACATGTTTAACTGTAAAACATGTAGATAAGGTACATTTATGGGTAATTGTTGTCTGCTTTAAGAAAAATTTCATTACTCACCTTTCCCATTTTGATTATATCTTTGTTCTTATCTAAAAGAGCAAAATAAGAACTACTGTTTAATTGAGTGCCTTCTGTTTGCTTTGTCTTAAACGTCTAAGTTCTATCCACATACTGCTTTTGAAACAAATAGTGCTACAACTCTTCTGAAGAAGAGCAATTCCCTGCTTCTCATACATTCACTATTTCAAGACTTTCATTATTTTAACCTTTCCTACTGCTGTGTGCCTCCATGTTTCTAAATAACACCCACATATTGCTGTTTCTTGATGTGTTTGTTTCAGGCACTATCTCTTGATTTGCTCTTACTGTAGATGAGAATTCAGTCATTGTGCGTTCCCCTTCTTAGAACAGCCTCCCCCCTCCACACACACAGTCCCCTCCACATTGTTTCAGCTCCAGCGTTCTTCCTCCTGACTCCTCCAGTGCTGGCTTCTCTCTATGAACAGATGAGTTTACTGTGGGCACCCAAACCTCCAACCCCCCACCCCAATCCTGGACACCGAAGTCTAACTTCCTCCACTCTGTTAAATCACCTGCCACTTTGCCTTCTGCTTCCAGTCTCCAAGAGTGTATTGAAACTCTCCATCTGCTGTAGCTCATCCTGATTCCACATTAAACTAGAAATCTTCTCATACTGAATGTTTCCCAAGTTTCACACAATTTTCCCCAGTGCTTCCCAAGTTTTCAATACGATTAAAGTGAAGGTTTATTTTTCTCTTTTATTTTAATAACTTATCTGCTGCTGTGTTATGGTAGAGTAGTGTTATGTTTTTATTCTATGTTCATAGGTTAACATTTGCAATTGATGTTTCATACTGTGTAACCTTTTATATTTGAAATGGTACCATTCTTAAAATTCCCTCTGAATGATTCCCTCACTTTTGGATGTTACTGGGAAGGTCTTAGATTCAAATTAATGATATTAAAAATGACTTTGCTTTAGAGGCATGTAGCATACTGAATTTTTACCATGTACTAGGGATTATTCAAAATCCCTTACGTGCATTAATCACTTAATTCCCTTGAGCTTTGCCTCCTTAAATGTGTACTATAATTAGCACCATTTTATAAGCAAGGAAACTGAGTCACAGTGAAGTTAAATAATGAGCACTGAGTTCCTCTACGGTGCAGCGAATATTAAGCCACTCTTACAATAACCCTGCATGTGTCCGGTGGAGTGCTTTAGAGACTCCTGAGTATGTTAATCCTAAACCAGTTTGCAATGTAGGGATAGTAGTTCCCTGGCCTCCTCAAATCCCATATACCTCAGGCCCTAAAGCCCTGTTTCCTGCAGGCTGTTTCTTTGGAAGTCCTTGGTGGGATATTTGCTGTACCTAACATCACTCCGGCCCTCCTCCCTGAGACTGACACCTGTGTACAACTATCACAGAGCCTGTGTCCTGCTACTGTGTAACAGGGGCGGTACCAGCCTTGAGAGAAAAGCCAGCCTCCCTTGCCCTTGGTGATGGGGTCTCCTGGCTCCTCTTTTGGGTCCTGGTACATTTCCCTGCTCAATGTTGTATGACTCCATTTGGCTGACTCCATCCAAGGAATGGCAATGGTGCAGCAGGAAATGACAACTCCACTCATAAACATAAATGATTCCATGGTTTGGGTATTTGTTTTACAAACTATGAATATTTTATTTTGAAAATATACAGAATTTATGAAATTAAAACTCAAAAGATTTAAATTATTTAACATACATTTGATACAAAAACATATACATATATTACAAATATGAGGGTAAATTTACAAAAGGTAAACATTGTGACTGTTATATACGTTTTGGACAGATAAAAGTTGCAAAGAGAAATATTCCAGCTACAAACTAAACAGCATGTAAATTAAGGAGCTGTAATTAATTATGAAAGTTGAAAATCAAAACATTATTTTCTTCCTTTAAAAATGTGCTAGCCAAAAAATAAAGTGGGTCAGTGACATCATTGAGTTGCAAACATATTTTTGTGCAAGCTTTTCCTACTGCGGAAATAGCTCTTTCTGGTGATTTTCAGACTAGTCGGAAAAATGATGAAGAGATACTTAAGAGCCAACCCTCAATATTTTCTTCTGCATTTCATCTTCAAATAATTTTATCTCATACTTGATAACTTTGCAGAGTTTGAACAAGCTTTCCTTCCATGCCCTCCCCAACAAAGAGTAGGTTCCATAGGGATTAGAAGCTAGAGCTCCCTCTGCTCCTGCCAGAGAAAGCATTTGATTTGTCTGCATGTTGTATATGCTTATCATGGGCAGTTGGTGACTGATACAGAAGTCCCTGCATTCATTATCATACTGACTGTCACATTCCTAGCCTCCTCTTGCAGAAATTCCTTGAATCCTAGTAATAATTGTTCTTTTACTAAGAGCTTTGCAGGACCACAGCATAGTTGCATATTATAATTCTTAAAGTCTTGGACCTGTCTAGACTTGTAGACTTTGCATCAATTTGTCTTTTCACGTAATTTGAATAATGAAATCACTGACCTTGCTCTACAGATATTAATAACTTAAATTCTGGATTTAAAAAAACATTAAAGTAGCCTACCAGCAAATCCATGGCTCATTCAGTAGTAAAATATAGCAGCGTATGCTGTAATACCACAATCTGGTCATCTCTCCTCCTCTTGTGGAGTACCCAGCATGCCTTGAGGCCCAGATTCCAATCTGCAGATGAGGAAAACCATATTCAGGGAAGGGAAATAATCAGCCTGAGGTCATGTAGCTAGCAAGCGTCAGCACTGAGAGCGAGCTCAGTTCTTGGGCTCCTATAGAAAGAGTAACTTCCACCATCTCTGTCTTAGTTAAGTTCCCCATCCTTTTCATCTAAGGAGACCCAATGATATCTACCCTGGGAATGAAACAAATCATTGAAATTTGGTCCTAGCAGAAATTGTCAATTAGCTGAATTTTAAGTGACTATTTTCCTAAGGTGAGGGTTGTTCAGCACCTGAGTGGACTCTGGCAGCAGTTTATAAAGTTTCCTCTTCTATCATCTCAAAAATCATCACGGGGCTAGTATTGTGGCATGGTAGGTGAAGCCACTGCCTGTGTTGCTGGCATCCCATATAGGCACTGGTTTGAGTCCCAGCTGCTCCACTTTGGATCCAGCTTCCTGCTGATATTCCTGGGAAGGCATCAAGAGGTGGCCCAGGTGTTTGGACCTTTGTACCCACATGAGAGATGCAGAGGAGGCTCCTGACTTCAGCCTGGCCCAGCCTTTGTGTTATGGTCATTTGGAGAGTGGGTTGGAGGATGGAGAATCTCTCCCCCACCCATCTCTTCATCTCTCTGTGTAGCTCTGACTTTCAAATAAATGTTTTTAAAGATTATTTATTTATTTGAAAGGCAGGGTTATACAGAGAAAGGAGAGGCAGAGAGAGAGAGAGATCCCATCTGCTGGTTCACTTCCCAATTGGCTGCAATGGCTGGAGCTGTGCCTATCTGAAGCCAGGATCCAGGATCTTCACCCGGGTCTCCCATGCAGGTGCAGAGGCCCAAGGACTTGGGCCATTTTCCATTGCTTTCCTAGGCTATAGCAGTGAGCTGGATCAGAAGTGGAGCAGCCGGGTCTTCAACTGGCACCCATATGGGATGCCAGCACTGCAGGCGGTGACTTAACCAGCACCAGCCCCTCAAATAAATTTTTTTTAAAAAAATCTTAGAAAAATTAAAGAATTGGGGCCAGAGCTGTGGTGCAGCAGGTTACAGCACTGGTCTGCAGCACTAGCATCTCATATGGGCTCCAGTTCAAGTCCTCACTGCTCCACTTGCAATCCAGCTCCCTGCTGGTGCACCTGGGAAAGTGGCAGAGGATGGCCCAAGTCCTTGGCCCCTGCACCCATTTGGGAGACCTGAAAAAAGCTCCTGGCTACTGCCTTCTGCTTAGCTAAGATCCAGCCATTGAGGCCATTTGGGGAGTGAACCAGCGGATGGAAGAATTCTCCCCGCCCTCCATAACTCTTGTCTTTGAAATAGATAAAATAAATCTAAAAAAAAAATTATCTAAGAGTTTGAAATTTTACCCAGATTCCATGTGACCTCTCAAGGTCTCCTAACAGTTGGAACTCTGCAGGGCCACGAAAGCCCAAGATGCTGGGAGTTGGACGCCAAGTCCCCTGCCAGCAGGCCCGTTGGATGGTCCCTCTCACCAGTGATGCACCTGGTGACAGGGCTGAGTGATGCTGCCCCTCTGATTTTTGGGTCTCACACTCCCACACTTCACTGTGCCATTATCAAAGCATCCAGGTGGAAGGAAGGGCTCAAGAAATTGGAAATAATCTCGCTTATCTTTCCTCTATTTGCTCCTTTCATCTTTTTCTGTTTAATAAGCACAAAGTAAACACAGAGTGATTTTTTTTTATTCTGAAATGTTATGAACATTAAGCTCTGAGTATTATCTCGGGAATGCATTTCATTTGAACTCCAAGGAGCACTAATGTAATTTTTTAAAGGTAAAAAAAAAATCGACATTCGTAATGCCACCACGATTTCCCGTGGCTGTGGTGTATGTAGAAGGCCTCCCTCTGGCAGGTCAAATGTTTCCATGTCTGTTCAGATGTTTTTTGCTTTTGAGGCCCTTAAGACTTTAGCAGAGATAACTCCTGAGTACCTCAGCTGCATTCCAGATATGAGACTGTTTTCATTGCAGAAAATCCATCGTTTGCCAGTCACCTATCATAAACCCGATCCTGTGGCGTGCTTGTGAGATGGGGTTCCTCCTTTAACTCTTTTACCACACTTCTACAGATTAGTGCATATTATCCCATTTTGCTGACAAGCGATGTGTACTTCAGAGGCGTTGAGCTACTTGCCTGAAGTCACTCGACCAGGAAATATCAAAACCCGGCTCCCCAGGGGAGCTGTCTGCTTGCTGCACACAGGTACTTCCTACTGCACTATCCGGTCTCAGCACTCTTGCCCCTGGCCAGTAACTCTGCCAGTTCCTACCCTCTGGCCATGCGTCTGGATTCTCAGCCTGGACTTGTACTTGGTCAGAACCTCCTCAAACTTGGTAGCCTGCCAGCATTCTGTTCACTTGGCCCAAAGTAAGCCACCGAGCTTCTATCCTTAGAGAAACCATGATGCATCCCATCCTTACCTCATCAATCACTCACTCTGCAGTCACCCGCTGTGGATGCATCACACCATCACCAGTGCACCTGTGCACTGCAGGTAACAGGGACAGGAAGAGAGCCTCCTCCAGCCTGGAAAGTTCCCAGTCTTGGGGATGGGGACAGGATGAGTACAGTCTGGAAAAAAATACAATGATAATTCAGTGCATCACATGGCATTAAGAGGGACGCATAGTGTGTCACAAGATTCCCTGCAATGAACCTAGCCTGCAAACATCTCTGCAGGCTGTCAGGTGTCTGGATGGGTTGCACTGTGTTTCCTCAAAATTCGTATGTCAGTGTCAGCCCCCAGTACTTCAGGATGTGACTGAACTCAGCACAAGGGCCTTGAAAGAGGGGACTGAGGTTAAGGGAGGTTATGAGCTGGGCCCTAATGCAGTCTGACAGGTGTTCGTGTAAGAAGAGGAGGTTGGGACCCACAGAGAGACACCAGCATGAGCACACAGAGAGTAGGCGAGAAGGCGGTGGTTCCTGAGCCAAAGAGAGAGGACTCCAGAGAAACCAAATCTTTCAACACCAGGATCTGGGATTGTGAGAAAACACATTTTTGTGTTTGAGCGTCCCAGGCTGGGGAATTGTGTTATGGTGGCCTTGGCCGACAAAGGACATGAAGCAAACCCCATGCTCCTCCCTTTTCTTACCTGGGCTGTGTTGATGCCTGCCCCTTCCTCACCAACCCCTGTCCCCTCCCTGCCTCTCCCCTCCCTGCCTTCAGAGCTCTGTGCAGCACTCAGGCACCGTTCTCTGATCAGTGGTCTCTGAGCAGGTTTTTCACAGGAGTGCTCCAGCCCGTAGCCACATGAAATTCACATCAGTTTTAAAATACTGATATTGGCAGGGCACAAATAGCCCCCGGCCATTTATTGGGAATGGATGTTTCTGGCATATTCTCTGTCATCTTTTCTAAACTGGGCTCAGAATCTCTCCCAGGTGTAACAGCGAATGTGTCACTCTTATGTAAAGCAGTACAGAGAAGAGACCTGTTCTTCAGAATTGTATGTGTTTCTGAAGATTTAATTACTTATATAATATTATGCATCTTTACCCATTTATGTTTTTAATCAAAGGTTTAAAATTTGTAAGAACTCTGTGAAAGTAGGAAATGCTACAGAGACAAGTGAGGAGAGATCAAATAGACTGCTAATTAAGTTAATGCGCGTTCAATGCTTGGCATAGCACTGGGCACATAGAAGCACAATGTACGTGTTGGACTTAATTATTGCTTTGAGACAAAATTGAAAGTCTGCAATGCACAAAGACCATTGGAAAACATTGGAAAGAGCAAATAAAAACTGGAAATGAGAAGAATAAAACGTTGTAAGACTAATCTGATGAAAGTGCCTGATAAAATCACCACTAAGAGTAACGTGCAAACAAAACAGGAAATATGGGTTGTACATGTGAGCACTGCAAATGAAGATATTTGGTAATGAGCAAAATCCATTTTTTGAGTGACTAGTAGTACAAACGTCATAAATGGCAGTAGTTTTCCATGGAAAACATGGAACAGAATTATAACTTGATTTCAATGCCAAAATTATTGATCATACTTTATAAATGTGAGGCACACTGCACTTTATACATGCTTCCTTATATGGCATCACATTGATTGTGATCTTAAGATATCCTGGGTTGTTAGGCAAACAAGGGCTATTATTCCCTTTAACCTGAAGCTCCAAGAATATGTGACTTGCTCAGGATCACACCACTTAGGTTAGGCAGAATCAGGACTCAGATCCAAATAATTTTAATTCCATGCAGGTGCTCTTTCCATTTCCCCATCAGCCATTATATAGACAGGAGGTCACAAATATCTCTCCTGTGAGGGGCATTGTAGATGTCCTCCCTGGGAAGTAATGATTAAACTGGGTCTGGAACCTTACGTTCTCAGCACCTTCTTCTATCAGTGTTGTGAGGGAGTAGTGCAAAGAGCAATAACCTTGGTAAATCTACTTGCAGAGGATGAACTACGCATTTGAACTTGGACAGGCAGAGAAGCTAGAAGGGCTGCTGCCTACTCCCCTCCCCTGCAAGTGCTGTCATAATGCAGCATATTCCCTGGAGCTTTAGGTCGAAGCAGTGTGTGCACAGTGATTGTGAGCATGAGCTGTGGAGTCAGGCTTTGGTGCAGATCCCTACTTATGCCCCTTAATCATTATAAAACCTGGGAGAAATTTCCTCTTCAATTTTCAATTAAAAATATTTACTCAACCTTATATGCCATTTGATGACTAGGTTCTGAGTCTACAGCGGTTAAAAGTATTGCTTCTCTCATCACTTGTTGCATAGTACTTAAAAATTTAATAGTTTGATATATAATGAGTATACAAAGTTTGTTTTAATGGGTAATTGGCAAAGCCCTTAGCAGATGCCTGGTAGCTGTATACAGGACTTGAGAAGCATGCTGTATTAAATCTCTAGAGAAAGAGAACAAATATATCACATGTGATATATATTTCTGTATCTATCTATATGCATACATGTGTGTGTGTGCGCGTGCATGTGTGTGAGAGAGAGAGAGAGAGAGAGAGAGATTTATTACTAGGAATTTGCTCACACAATTATAGAAGTTGAGGAGTCCCAGAGATGCTTTCTGCAAACTGGAGACCCAAGAAAGACTGTGGTTGTCATTCAGTTCAAGTTCATAGGCCTGAGAACCAGGGATGCTAATGATGTAGATTCCATTCTGGGTCTGAAGGCTCCAGAACTGGGAGGACCAAGGACAGGAGAAGATGGATGTCCCAGCTCCCACAGTCAGGCAAAGGGGATGGATTCCTCCTTCCCCTGCCATTTGTTCTGTGCAGTCCCTGCAGGGATTGAATATGGATCACTTATAGTGGGGAAGGCAATCCACTTGACTGATTCCAATCTTATCTGGAAATACCCTCACAAACTGATCTAGAAATAGAGTTTAACCTGGGCACCCTGTGCCAATCAGTGTGAATACATAAATGAACTATTAAGCATGGTGCTTTGAACTGATTCACCAAAATTCATGAAATCCTCATCCTGGAAGTGATGGTATTTGGAGGTGGGGCCTTTGAGAGCTAGTTAAGTCATGAGCATGGAGACCCCGTGAATGGGATCAGTGCCCATTTCTTTCTATGAAAGAAATCCCAGAAAGACCCCACTTCCTTCTCACTACATGAGTTCAATCATCTCTGAGCTTGGAAAGAAGACCCTCTCACATCAAATCTGCCAGCATCTTAACTGTGGGAAATGAATTTCTATTGTTTACAAACCACCCAATAAAATGTATTTTTTTATACCCAAAGATACTAACACACAAAGGAGGATTCAACCTGACCACTTACCCTCCATGGCTTTGCATGGTTCAGCTTCACTGCCTACCCCTGCATCACAGTTCAGGGTGCTAATCATCCCTGCACTTAGAGCTCTATCCATTTAAATGCCTCCACACCGAGTATGTATTTTAATGGCCACACCTTCTGTGGTGAGCATGGCCATGTCCTATTAGTAGATATAGAACTTCAGGCCATCATGTTGTGTGACCTGCAAAACACTGCAGGCTGGACATGAATGGCCTCGCTGCCCATGTGCTCCTGAGCCCTCCTGGAGGGCACGAGCCAGCTCTTTAGAGACCTTTACTCTCTCCTCTCTGTGCCCCATGTGCAAATGTAGCCTCCCAGAAGTCTATTCAAATGAGCTTACCCAGCACCAATCTCACCAGTGGTAAGCACCTTCCATCACCTAGTTGTCACTGCTAGGAGGCAAACCTGATAAACAAAACAGGATGCAATGGTGAGCTTTACAGAAATGTAAATAATCCATTTAAATGGTTATCCTTGATTCTTGTTGGTATGAAATATCTCATTTCATAAAATCATAATGCTAATAGGCAGAATGATTTGTATATGTATCTATTCAGCAAAGTGAAGTTGGACCCTAGCCTTTTTATTTTGTTTTTGAACTAGTCTGCAAGATTGAAAAGCTAGGGCTTTTGTACCGAGCCAGGGCTGGTAGATGACTGCAGGAACTGTAAGGCCCTCTCCGCTAGCCACCTACCCCTCAGGCCCTATCTTCTTCCCCTCCTCCCCCTTCTCTCTTTTTTTTTTTTTTTTTTTTTTTAATCTTTTATTTAATGAATATAAATTTCCAAAGTACGACTCATGTGTTACAATGGCTTCCCCCCCATACCGTCCCTCCCACCCACAACCCTCCCCTTTCCCACTCCCTCTCCCCTTCCATTCACATCAAGATTCATTTTCGATTATCTTAATATACAGAAGATCAGCTTAGTATACCTTAAGTAAGTATTTCAACAGTTTGCTCCCACACAGAAACATAAAGTGAAAAATAATAGATGATTTTTTTTTAAATGATGATGAAATCAGATCAGACCTATTGTCATGTTTAATCCCAGTGAGAGTCAAGTTGGGAATTGATAATTTCTTTCTTTTTTTTTTTTTTTTTTTTTTACAGAAGATCAGTTTAGTGTACATTAAGTAAAGATTTCAGTCGTTTGCACCCCCATAGAAACACAAAGTGAAATATACTGTTTGAGTACTCGTTATAGCATTAAGCCTCAGTGTACAGCACGTTAAGGACAGAGATCCTACATGAGGAGTAAGTGCACAGTGACTCCTGTTGTTGACTTTACCAATTGACACTCCTGTTTATGGCATCAGATTTCATCTTCCCGCCATTCATCCTAAGCTCTCTCGAATTGCAGAGAGCATATGTATCCTTGTGCCTGTTACCCCGATCCTTCTGCCTGGACAACTTGTCAAGGCTTCCTTTTCTATTTAATTTCCCTCTGCTTTCCAAGACAACACTAAATGGTGTTTTGTGAGGACACTCACTGATTTACAGAACGATGCTTTTTTCTGAACAGGTTGTTGGCTTCTCAGCCTCTCCAGGAGATCTTGAGCACCATAAAAGTAGAAGTAGAACCACAGCTTTCTTTTTATCCATTCTTAGTGGCTGGCCTATCCCCACTGACCCAGTGAAGGTGGTAAAGGGAAGGGGGTGGGGGAGGAGAGAGATGAGGAATGAGGAAGACAAAGAAAGATATGTTAGGCAGAGAGTGGAAACAGAAACACATGGATAAACAAGACAGAGCCAGGGATAGAAACATGAGGAGGAGGGGCAATAGAAAGGAATGGGAGAAGGAAATGTGCTATGGAAAAGAGAGAGAAAGTGTTGATGAAACAAAGAAGGAAATAAGGAAGAAGAAAAGGACGACAGGAGAGAAGGTGGTTCTTGTAAGTGAGCAGTTTCTGCCTATTGCAGACGTGGGAGTCTCTGGTCTCCACTCACACACCTGCCTTTGCGAGGTAAAAACACCTTCCTTCTCTTCATCTGCCTAACACATACGGGGGCTTTGACTTCTTGTCCATTTTTCATTCTATAATTATTTGAATACATTTGCATCAAATTATATTTAGATATTCATCATCTCTGTAATTTCCCAAGATAAATAGAAAAACCTTCCAAAAACTGAAAATGCTATAGACTACATATTTAACCTTAGAAAATTGGCAATTCATTAGAAAAAGAAAGCAGTTGCTGCTTTAGCAAAAATATTTAATTCGAGGATACTCTTTGCCAGTGTGCGTAGGAAAACCCCCATAGAAGTTTTAGAATGACAGTTCTTGAACTAGCAGCTCTAATTTAAAAGGTGTTTTGGATAGAAATATACATGGTTTTCTTAATGCAGCTTTCTAGAAAACAATTTTATAAAATTGGGATTGGTTTTTTAAAGTAAATGTCTTTTTTTAAATTAAACAAGGCAAGTAAAAATGAACATTTCAAACTCAACTTACCAAATGGATGTGATGATGGGTCCACAGGTGAAGATGCCTAGTAATAAAATGCTGAGCACTTATTCCTGCTCAAAATCTATGAAACTTTGAGTCCAAGAGTTTAGGTCACTTGGGAGAAGTGGCAGAGCCTAGTTTTATCCTGGTGTGGTCTGACACCCAAGCCTTGTTCCTGGTATGACAATCTGTGCTACTCTTAGCTAAAGTTGAGACTCATTGATGCGCTGACCTCTAGAATTACATACTGGAGAGATAAAAGATGAAATAGTTAATTGCAGTGTGTTAAGTGCCTCCTTCCATATAACTCTCCAACCAACCTGTGAGACAGGAATTTTCCTCCCCTTCAACTGCTGGGGAAGCGGAGCTTCCAAGAGGTTACAAAGTTTGCCTGCAGTTCCCAAGGAGCCTACCCAGTCATTCAGATGCCATGAAAAGGTCTGGAAACCCGGAGACTTCATAACCTGCCTCACTGGAGAGGAAAACGATCATTTGTTTATGGAGCTGAAATTTGTTGAATGCTTGCTGAGTGCCAGACAGTTTTGCAAATGCATTGCACAAATCCTTTCATTTATTGCTCACAACAGACCTGTGAAGGGAGCATGCTGCCTTAGACCTCTTTTGGATACAGCAGAGATGGATTTTTTTAAGACTTATTTATTTGAAAGTGAAGGGAAGCCTTGGAAACTCATGACTGGAGCATAGGGAGATTACTGATGCCATAGACAGGAGTGTCAATTGGTAAAGTCAACAACAGGAGTCACTGTGCACTTACTCCTCATGTAGGATCTCTGTCCTTAATGTGCTGTGCATTGAGATTTAATGCTATAACGAGTACTCAAACAATATATTTCACTTTGTGTTTCTATGGGGGTGCAAACTGTTGAAATCTTTACTTAATGCATACTAAACTGATCTTCTGTAAAAAAAAAAAAAAAAAAAAAAGAAATTATCAATTCCCAACTTGACTCTCACTGGGATTAAACATGACAATAGGTCTGATCTGATTTCATCATCATTTAAAAAAAATCATCTATTATTTTTCACTTTATGTTTCTGTGTGGGAGCAAACTGTTGAAATCCTTACTTAATGTATGCTAAACTGATCTTCTGTATATTAAGATAATCGAAAATGAATCTTGATGTGAATGGAAGGGGAGAGGGAGTGGGAAAGGGGAGGGTTGTGGGTGGGAGGGACGGTATGGGGGGGAAGCCATTGTAATCCATAAATCGTACTTTGGAAATTTATATTCATTAAATAAAAGTTAAAAATAAATAAATAAATAAATAAATAAATAAATAAATAAATAAAAAGAAAGTGAAGGGAGAGGAGTTGCACGAAGACACATCTTATCCCCTTGTTCATTCTCCAAATGGCCACAACAGCCAGGACTGGGATAGGTCGAAGCCAGGATTCTGGAACTCCAACCAGATCTTCCACAGGAATGACAGGGGTCCAAGCACTTGAGCCATCATTCACCTCCTTCCCAGGTACATTAACCTGAGAAGTAGCAGTGATATCTCAAGTAGGAGAACTAGACTGAGTTCCTGGCTCCTACCTCCCTGCCAAGTCTAAGGCCTTTGTGGGCATTTCAGGGAGTGAATCAGTGGATTAGAACGCTCTTTTGCTCGCTCCCTCTCTCTTCCTGCCTCTCTCTCAAAATAAAATCAAACAAATTTACAAACACTCCCTTGATCAAACACACCTATCTGTGAGCCTTATTTATTCCTTTGAGTCAGTTCCTTGCTCAGGGAAGTGGCACGTAGCACGTGTCATTCATTCATTCAGTCTGGTAAACCCTGAAACATCTTTCTCATTCTTATTTCAAGATAATTCCATTGATTCTTCCAACTCTGGGATTCCCAAACCATCTATTCCACCTTCCTGCAGCTTCAAAAGTAGCTACACACCGTGCTCATGTTATTACAAGACCCTTAATTGTTATTAATTGCTGTCGGAGGTGATGATAATTAGCATGCTGTAATGAAGTGCTAGCCCACCATCCCGGAGTGTGTATTTAACCTGTGTTTGTCTAAGGAGATCAACAAATTCTCTGGATACTCTCATGCCTTGGTACTGAGGAAGAGACAGGGGTGTATGATTTAATCTGGCCACTCAGAAGCCCTGGGCCATTCCTTCCGTGGGAGAGTCCCCTGCCTGTGGCCTGTGGTTTCTGAATACCCCTCCCACCTCCTGCTACTGCTGCCAAGCCAGCTTCACTGATCACAACAGCAGGCTCGTTTGATGACATGCCAGCATGAGTTTCAAACACCAATTACCACTCTGCCGATGACAAATATGAAGGGGGGAAAAAGCAGCAATCATCGTTTAATAAATATATTATGAAGACAAATGCTGCTTACGTAAATCACCCACTATTATTGAAAACTTGATGATTCAGATATGGAAGAAACAAGGGTTAATTTCAAAACCATGGAACCTCAACTATAGGTGGTTTTAGAAAGACCTTGAGGGAACCTCTTGGCCTGAAACCAGCAAGTCCAGTAGTCAGGTTCCCTGCTATTCCCCTGGAATAAAGGACAGCCATTGTTTCAGCCCTCTCTGGTTTTTCTGCAATGCAAAATGCTACAGGTGAGAAGCATTCTAAGTTTTCATACCACATGGAAATTTCTAATCTAAAGCCCAGAGCGCCTTCTGACAACTTTGAGTGTGAGTAGAGCTCAGAGAGAACCAGGAAGGAGAGAAGGGTGCCTATGAAGTGCACTAAGGAAGCACTGTCCATGTGCTTGGAAGGCATTTTATCATGCCCTTCAGAGAGAAGGCTTGATCTGGTTCTCACACAGTTACCCAAGGGCAGTGAGGGAGCAGCAGAATGCTCAGGACATCAGCTTTGAAATCAGGTAGCCCTTGCTCCAGTACAGCATTACCAGACCTTAGCTATGCGATCATGCTCAAGTTACTTAGCTTCTCCAAGTCTCTGTTCCCTCATCCATCAAGCAGAGAAGATAATAGCAGCTTTCACACAGATCTGTTATTGTTATGATGAACTTAAATAATACCCCAGGGTCTTCAAAGGCTTCATGGAGAACACATATTATAAAAAAAACTATTGCTGGATTTAAATTATTTTGCACAAAAATAAGCATCTTTAATTCAATTTTTATGAACTTTTAAAAGTACTCTTGCATGTGGTAAATAGCACAGGAAACATTCCATATATAATTTTTAAGCTCTATTTATTTATTTGAAAGTCAGAATTATAGAGAGGGAGAGGGAAGGAGGGAGGGAGGGAGACACAGAGAGAGAGATAGAGATCTTCCATTCATTGGTTCATTTCCCAGATCTCTGCAACGGCCAGGTCTGGGTCAGGCCGAAAGCAGGAGCCAGGAGCTTCATCCAGGTCTCTTACTTGGGTGCAGGAACCCAAGCACTTGGGCCATCTTCCGCTGCTGTCCCAGGTGCATTAGCAGGGAGCTGGATCAGAAGTAGAGCTGCCAGGATTCAAACTGGCCTGCCAAATGTAAGGCAGACATCTCCAGCAGAAGCTTTACCCACTACACTACAACGCCAGCCCCAATATTCTATATATTATCATTGTTAGTTATTATTTCCCCATTTTACCATGAAAAGATAGAAGCTCATCAGAAGTTAATATCACATTCACGGACACATAGCTAATAGCGCAGCCTGGATTCAGACTCATGTCTCTATCCAGATCTTCTGCTCTTGCCTAGCCCCTAAGGTTTTCTACATGAGTGGGCCAAGCCAAGTTTTCCAGCGGCAAGATTTACGTGGGAAATGATTGCTGGCACAATCACATTCATTTCATTACAACCAGAAGTAAGGAACAAGTTCCCCCTGCTTCCTTCATGTTGGCTGTGCTGGCTGTTTTCTTCTTGTTAGAAAATCCTAACCCTCCCCAAATGTATAATTGAAGATAAAGGAATCTTATTTTGGAAGATCATTGTAAACACGCATCTTTACGTTTTGTGATTTTGGAGTGTGTGTGTTGAAGAGTAGGTACGGGTGTCTGCCGCCCCACTACCTCTCCTGTTTCTTAGCACATATTCCTGCACACATTTAGGTTACCTGCAGGACTGCTCAGGGCATTTGAGATTGGATGCTACTGCCAAAGCCTACTGGTGGGCTCCAGCTAAAGCCTTACTCCATGTCTGTGTCTCTACACACAAACTGCTCCCAAAAAGTGGGCAGAAGATTGAATTTGGTCAAGCAATTGGTTAGTTCAGCAAATAGCTTAGTAAAGAAACATGTGAGGGCTATGTGTCAGGTAATTGAGTTGGCAGTGAAACCAAACACGTGGCAGAAGTGCTATTACTCTGGAAGGTGTTTTTAGATGCTTTCAGAGGCGAATCTCTTACTATCTGCAGTGAAAAACCTTACTAAATACCAAGAGCTGCTGAGATTGTCTGTTTAGTAAACATTTACTGAGCGCTTACTAGTGCTGGGTCACATGCCACCTACAGGTGCAGCAGTGATGTGTCACACGTGGACCCTGCAGGTAAGTGTTCAGAATCACTTTGCCTGCCCCCACCTACAAGTCCTCAACCAAAACTCTTTTGGGAAGAACCTCCATTTCTTTCCAGTCTCAGAAGAGCTCAGAACACCTGAATGAAATGGGAAAAGCAATAGCAAGGGGCTAGGGACAGCTCTTCAATGAGAACCTCCCAGCTTATCATTCCCTCGCAAAAGAAATAAAATTTGAGTTGAAGGGTGACCTTTTTTCTTTTTCAAGCCGAATAATCAGGGAAAACACAGACAGAAACACACACACAGAATTCTGGCTCATGCATGTGTCCTCTCTCCTTTACACGCATCCCCAAGTACACTCTTGCTCTCCCTCTTGCTCTAACACACACACATACACACACACACAAACACACTCACACTCACAAACAAGTCTTTGAAGCCCAGACAGAAGGTGGGTCTGAGAAAGTAGGGCAGTCTGCACATTGTCTAGTCAGTGAGGAAGCGACAATCTGGAGCAGGAGCAATGCAAACAAACTCTGCCTCCTGCCATTGCGGATGATTCAGAGCCGTGGGCGTGTTGGCTGTGCTGCCCCTGTTTCCTGACCCCAGCTGGTGGGATGGCAGAGGCATTTCCCTTCCCTCCTGCTGCCTCCTGGATCTGCATTCTTCCTGTCCCTCTTAGGCTGCTGCACATCTAAGAGCAAAGGAGTGAGGATGTGAGAGTGCAGCATTCTGGTGTCCGTGTGCCTCACCCTGTGCCATGTGCTGGGCACTGGGGACGGCATTTCATCCCCACAGCAAACTTTTGAAGGTTGTTATGATCTCAGTGTGACAGATGAACAAACCAAGACTCAGATCTTCACAAGATCACCCTGCTGAGTGCCAGAGCTTGGATCTTGCTCCAAGTCTCATGGACGCCACAGCCTGCTCTAGAC